GGTTGCAGTTGTGCATTTGATGTGCAGTTTTTTTTACATCCTTTGTACCTGCTGAACCTGAGCTCAGAGATTCTTGGAGTTCATGCTCCTCAGAGAATTAGCCTTCTGCCCAGGAATATAATTTTACCTATTGTGTATGTGTGTGTGTGTGTGTGTGTGTGTGTGTGTGTGTGTGTGTGTACACAAGGGGTATATACTGAACATCCTGCTTTTGCTATATAGTCTATCTGTTAGGCTTTATTTTCAGTTCTTTGCCTTGTATCAGTCTTGAGTACTTGGTGTACCCTTAATCATTAGGCCTCCTTGGTATTTTGCAGGGTAAAACTCTTTGTTTCATTATGTCGGTTACCCTTCCTATTTGCCTCATTAGATAAAACCTTGCATCTGTGATTTCTCTGGCACTCTGTCCTTGTGGCATATTCCTTTACATAGTGAGATTTTTAACATGGAGAGGAGATAAATCTAATGTAGTTAATCCTGTTTTCTTAAGTGGAGATTTTGAATGTTTATTGAAGCAATGGTTTTTGTTCTCCACATCAAATCTAGTGATTTCAGTGTACATAACAATTACTTTAAAATAGTGTAGCATGAGAAATACTGAAGTGTCATTCCTATACCATACATCTATTGCATTTTATGATTTAAACTGCTTCAGGACAGTGCTTATGTGCATACGCACTTATACCACTCCCTACCTCTGTATAATTAAGATCATCATTATGTATTTTACTTATTGAAGTGTTTAAAAGTATCATAGTATACCTTTTCTGTGGTCTAACCATAACATATTTGTAATAGCTCTGTTTAAAAATTTTACAGTTCCTCTTGTTGGTAATGACACACATAACTTCAGTAGCTAATATTTATTGACTACTTTTTATGGGCCACTTTACAAAATACATGTATTATATCATATAGTAGATCATCTTTATAAGCCTATAAGGTATAGATATTGTTTTTCCCTGTTTTGTTTCTTTGTTTTCTTTGTATAGTGTATTTATTCTCTTTGAACCAGGAATGACTGGGTAGGAAATATGGCTTTATGTGCTAACTTTGCTTTTGGTTTGTTTGTTTTGATTATAGAAGTAATTCATGTTCAAGAATACATTTTTTAGGTTTTACAGAACATAAAACCAAAACAAATGGCATGTTTGTTACAGATTTGGGGCCTGTTTTATGTTCAGTAGATTTACACAGTAAATAAACAGCTGAAAAAAATTAGGCAAAGTCAAATTAAGTATGATTTGCTGTAAATAAATCACTAGTGTTATGTTAACGTGGTGAACCAACCTGTGGATTCTTTTTTTTTTTTTTTTCTTCTTTATTTTAGAGACTTAAAGCTGTGAAGCTCACTGCAACCTCCAAACCCCCAGCCTCAAGTGATACTCTTGCCTCAGCCTCCTGAGTAGCTGGGTCTGCAAGCTTGTGCCACTACTCCTGGGGTTTGCTTTTGAGTTCTGCATTGCATATGCTACAGAGTGTACTGTGTGACAACTCATGTCTCTTAACCACTTAGCCCTCATATGTAAACTTATGACATTTGTTTAAGATTCTCCTTGTGGCCTTATATAAATTAAGGGGTTTTTTTTGGTTTTGGGGTTTTTTTTTGAGACAGTCTTGCTTTGTTGCCCAGGCTGGAGTGCAGTAACATCATTATAATTCACTGCAGCCTCAACCTCCCGGGTTTAAGCAATCCTCCTGCCTCAGCCTCCCCAGTAGCTAGGATTACAGGCAAACACCACCACACCCAGCAAATTTATATATATATGTTTTGTAGAGATGGGATCTTGCTGTATTGCCCAGGCTGGTCTCAACTCCTTGCCTCAAGCAGTCTTCCTGCATAAGCCTCCCAAAGTGCTGGTATTACAGGCTTGAGCCACCATACCCAGACAAAAAATAAGGTTTTAAGACTACTTCGTGGCTGTTTAAAAATAATGTCTGTTCCTTGTTTATTGAGTATAGAGTTCTCTTAGTCCTAGTTGGCTTTGTTTTAAATCTGCTATAACCATACTTTTTATCTAATTATGTTGATATCTGGCTATATATTATGGTTTTGATATTTTCTTTTTGGGAGTTAAAATTTTTTAATCTGTTTAAAGCTGTAATAATTTTTTTGAAATACTAAATTTATTATGATTAAATGTTTTACATGATGTATATAGATTCAGTTCCAGGTAGTTATTAGCAATTCCTACTAGTTTTTGCATATTAAGTCAGATTTATCAAGGTATTATTTATGTACACTAAAATCCACAAAAGCTAAATGTATAGTTCAGTGAGTTCTGGCAAATGTATTAAAATCAAGATTACTAAAATCAAGATAATTAAACATTTTCCTTATTTCAAGAATTCCCCCAAGCCACTGACAGTCACTTTCTACTCCCTCTCCTACCCATTGGTAACCACAGATCTCATTTCTGTTATTCGTCTAGTTTTTCCTTTTCCAGAATATCATAAAAATGAAAGCCTTTTTGTACCTGGCTTTTTAAAATTAGCATAATGCTTTTGAGATTCATCCAGGTTGTTGCTTTTTGTTGCAAAATAGTATTCCATTGTGTTAGATACACTACAATTTATCTTTCACCAGTTGATGGACATTTAGGTTGTTTTCAGTTTTTAGCTGTTAAAAGTAAAGCTACTATAAACATTCAGGAACAGGTCTTTGTGGGGACCATTCTGTTCATTTTTTGAGTCAGTAACTAGGAATGAGGTTACCGGGTTGTATGATGGTTATATGTTTAAGAATCTCTCAAACTTTTCTAAAATGCCTGTCTCATTTTCAGTACCCACAGCAATGTATGAGATTTCCAGTTGCTCTTCATCAGCACTTGCTCTTGTCAATCTTTTTAATTTTAGCCATTATTAGATGTGCAGTGGTATCTCATTATGGATTTACTTTGCATTTTCTTGTTGACAGATGATTTTGAAAAGTATTGCTGTGAGTTTATTTGCATCCATAGGCCATTGCTAAAGTGTCTATTAAATCTCTTATTGGATTGTGAGTGTTTCTGTGAGTGTTTCTGAATATAAGCACTTTATCAGGTATATGATTTGCAAATATTTTTCTCAGTCTATGGCTTGTCTTTTTATTCTTTTCATTTTCTTAACAGAAATGTCTACTTTTTTTTCAAAGAGTAGACATTTTAAATTTCAGTGAGGTCTAATTTCTCAATTTTTTTCTTTAATGATTCATGCTTTTTTGGCTCTTGTTCAGTTGGAAATCTGTACCTAAAAAAGATTTTTCTCCAAATTTGTTTTTATTTTTTTGAAACAGAACCTCACTCTGTTGCCTGGGCTAGTGTGCCATGCCGTCAGCCTAGCTCACAGCAACCTCAAACTCCTGGGCTCAGGCAATCCTACTGCTGTAGCCTCCCTAGTAGCTGGGACTACAGACTTGTGCCACCATGCCTGGCTAATTTTTTCTATATATTTTTAGCAGAGACAGGGTCTCACTCAGGCTGGTCTGAACTCCTGACCTTGAGCAATCCTCCCGCCTCCGCCTCCCAGAGTGCTGGGATTACAGGCGCGAGCCACACCGCACCCAGCCTCCAAATGTTTTTTTCTAGAAGTTTTCATGTTTTTTTTTTTTTTTTTTTTTTGAGACAGAGTTTCGCTTTGTTGTCCAGGCTAGAGTGAGTGCCGTGGCGTCAGCCTAGCTCACAGCAACCTCAAACTCCTGGGCTCAAGCGATCCTCCTGCCTCAGCCTCCCGAGTAGCTGGGACTACAGGCATGTGCCACCATGCCCGGCTAATTTTATATATATATATATCAGTTGGCCAATTAATTTCTTTCTATTTATAGTAGAGACGGGGTCTCACTCTTGCTCAGGCTGGTTTTGAACTCCTGACCTTGAGCAATCCGCCCGCCTCGGCCTCCCAAGAGCTAGGATTACAGGCGTGAGCCACAGCGCCCGGCCAGTTTTCATGTTTTTACATTTAGTTATATGGTCCATTTTGAGTTAATTTGTTTAATGATTTCTTGTTTGAAAATTTTTTTGGAGTGATATTAATGTTGCCTGCTTTTCTTTTATTACATATTGTATATATTTTATCTATGTTTATTTTTAATTCTGGAGGTAGAATTGTTTAGTATATTACTGTGGTGAATTGGTTTTCTTTTTCTTTAGTGCTTTTTGGAAGTCCATGTTAACTTAATCAGCTTTTCTCTTTCACTACAGTAAGAGCTCTTCTGAGTGATTTTCTTTTTTGGCTAGATAGAAAGCATTTCTCGGGGCTTTACTCTAGGTAACTATTAAAGCTTTAAGAGAAAATTATTTCCTAATCTTCTATTTAAAAAGAATAATTACTCAGCTTATATCTTAAATACTTTTTAAACAGTTTTTAAAATGTTGGTTAAGAGCATTTATTTTGTTGTTCTGATGATCATCAGTCCTTTTATTTAAATTGAATTCTTCTAAGTCTACTTATATTGCACAGGTTTTCATGTAACAGATACTGATTGTGAGACTCAAATGCCATGTTTTTTGTAGATAAAATACTTCTGAGTGTTTGGGTATTTAAAATAGTAATATGTGATTCATTAGTGATTTATTTCTTATTGCTCAGAATACCATTTCTTGAATTTTGAAAGGATAGGAGTTTGAAAGATAGGCTATATCCCAAAGAATGGTCTAGGTGTCAGCAACACCACAAGTCATACATGAATACTAACTCAACCCTTACAACAGTATTTAAAGCTGTAATGTGACTTAACCAGTAAGTTACCAGGTATTATCAGTAGTAACAACACCTACCAGTCGAAGTCTTCTTTGGCTATTATTCTTGCTTGGTAGATTTTAAGCTTTGTTCTTTTCAGTTACTGAAAGTGTTTGTATGCTGTCAAATAGGTGAAACTTTAAAAATTATTTAGTCTTCTAAAATCATTAAAAATTTTAAATTTTAGTGTGCTGGCAAAACTCCAGGTACCCACTTGGGTTACAGCTCTGGGCATGTGTACTAACTTACAAATTAGATAAGTTTTGTTCTCATTTTCTTTGTAGATGTGGTGGTACAGTGGGAGCTATTCTGACATGTCCACTGGAAGTTGTAAAAACACGACTGCAGTCATCTTCTGTGACGCTTTATATCTCTGAAGTTCATTTGAACACAATGGCTGGAGCCAGTGTCAACCGAGTAGTGTCTCCTGGACCTCTCCATTGCCTAAAGTAAGATCACAGTATTCACGAATTTCTTTTAGTTTGTTTACCTTAATGATTTCTACATTTGTTTGTTTATATTCCGCCACATTTGAAAAGGCTCTTTCTGTGGTGCCTCTGCATTTGCCAAAAATTGTTTTAAAAGCTCTTTACAAACTTAATGATAGAATTTATTTGCATTTTATTCATTAGGAGCAGTAATCCCTAATGGGGAAGAACAGTGAGATGGATAATATAAAATGTAATAGTGTTTTCAACTCATGTGTTTAGAATATTTTTCCACATTTATCCAATGGATTTTTTTCTGAAGCTATTAAGGGTATTTTCTTTTGGATTATTAATTCATTTTACTTTTGAAGTGTGATAGTGTTAATCCTCACTCTTTGTGTGTTTTTAATTTTGAGTACTCTCACAAGTAAGTATATCCAGTTAGTGACAGTCTGTGACTTTTATGTAACCTAAATATAACTGAGACTTAAAGTACAGTTAGAGTTTTAAATGCTGTTCGGGGTTGATTTGACATTTCCTGATGATTTGGAAAAGACTTGTTTTTACATCTTATCATACTTCATTATGTTGGAATTGGATTTGAAATTTCAAAACTATTAAAGTCAGGTCTTACATATTTAAACTTATGTGTGTAACTGAATGTCTGTGTTATGTCTACTTTATCAGCTCACTTGGGACTTAATCTGTTTGAACTTAGTTCAGTAGTATTTATTTTGTAGTAGCAAATAAACTCATCCCGAGTGTTTACCTTCCTTACCAAAAGCTTTCATCAGTCTTTTTAAAACTTGGTTACCTAAGTACATGAATAGATAGAGTAAAATTGTTGACAGTTTTGGGATTAAAATGCCCTAGTTACAGATGATAAATACTTCTATATTATTAAGAATAGGAAAAATGGCCGGGCGTGGTGGCTCACGCCTGTAATCCTAGCACTTTGGGAGGCTGAGGCGGGCGGATTGCTCAAGGTCAGGAGTTCGAAACCAGCCTGAGCGAGACCCCGTCTCTACCAAAAATAGAAATAAATTAATTGACCAACTAAAAATATATATACAAAAAATTAGCCGGGCATGGTGGCGCATGCCTGTAGTCCCAGCTACTTGGGAGGCTGAGGCAGTAGGATCGCTGAGCCCAGGAGATTGAGGTTGCTGTGAGCCAGGCTGACGCCACGGCACTCACTCTAGCCTGGGCAACAAAGTGAGACTCTGTCTCAAAAAAAAAAAAAAAAAAAAGAATAGGAAAAATGTTTTAACATTTGAGATTTATTACTATGGATTACCTCTTATTAAAATTCTTTTGACCTCTTTGGTATATTTTTTATTCTATTTTTCAGGGGTTTTGCCTTGTCTTCTTCATAGGAACTTTAGTAATCTCCCTATGTGTTCTGTTTTAGTTTCTCAGTTTTTCAGCCCCTCTTTAAAGCTCTTCATGTATTAATTTATTTAATCCTCACAGTAATCCAGTAAGAGGGTATAGTTTTTCCTTATTTACTCCTGATGAAACTAAGGATGAGAGAAGTTATTTCATGGTCACAAGTTAATTACCAACATTGGGCTTCATAGTTGGGAATTCTGGCCCCTCAGCTCAGGCTAGTAAGCATTGGACTCAACTGCCTTTCAAGAAATCATTCTTAAGGATATATTAGCAGATGTTTGAGAACCACTTGGTCTAGTCTGTTAACTCTGAATTAAATATCTACTCTTTAATCTCTGTTCCTTCTTAGCTCTAAAACTTCATTTAATAACATTCTCAGAAAGCCTTCTGAGACTTGCACACACCTCTGTTCTGTCTCTGCGGGGTGTCTATATATCTAGCTTGTGCAGTATTTGCTTGTTAATAGGGTCTGTTAAATTGTTTCAATGTAATTCTTTTTTCTACAACTGGATAGCGAATTTCTTAGTATCAGGGGCTTCACCTTCTCTTTTCTACCTCCTTACTCTGCCTAGTCATAAAGAACTCTTTAGGCAGTAAAATACTCAATATAGTAAATGTTAACCAAGTGTAGGTAGAAATTATAACAGGCCAACCATTCTAGTACCCTAAACGGTATTAGGGTGTTATATCTTGTCACAGCATTTCAGTGGAATAAGGATGAGTTAATACTGAAGTACTGAGAGTGTTGTCCAATATCAAGTATAAATAAAAGACCTCAAAACTAGGTAGTAATTACATTTCTAATTGGGAATTGAATTTGCTGGTAAAGATAGTAAAATTGAGGAAATTGAAGATAAGAGTAGTATGGTCAAGTGAAAATAAATGTAGAAATCTATACCATTATGTCTTCTAATCTTTAAGGAATGTATCTGAAAAATTATTTTTCAAGTTGTCACTAGTAAATCTATTATTAGTCTTCAATAATTTATACTATGTCCTGAAAAAACAGATTTTCATAAGTAAGGAAAATTGACCAGAGAAGCATAACATATTATAATACAAACATGGTATTTAGACTCTAATTTTGTTATACAAAGTAAATAAAGTTATCAGACTTTAAAAGACATTTCTTTCTAACTTTTTTTTTCTTTCAGGGTGATCTTGGAAAAAGAAGGGCCTCGTTCCTTGTTTAGAGGATTGGGCCCCAATTTAGTGGGGGTGGCCCCATCCAGGTAAAAACCGTTTAAAAAGTTAAACAATTGTGACAGTCTTTCTTGTTTCTGGGTGACTGTATTTAAGCATTTATAGGTACAGTTAAATTTGTAAATGTAGTTTTCAATGTTTATGGGATGTTAAACTACTTGATTTTTTAAAAGGATTTCAAATGCTAATCGGAACAAATTTACATAATAAAGTAATACTTGGTGATAGGTAATGGTACTGGGTATTTTGAAGACTAGCAATATTTTAGTACTGTTTGAAATTAATAGTAATAAATTAATAAAATGTGGTATATGTATACCATGGAGTACTATTCAGCTTTAAGAAACAATGGTGATATATAGCACCTCTTGTATTTTCCTGGATAGAGCTGGAACCCATTCTACTAAGTGAAGTATCTCAAGAATGGAAAAACAAGCCCCACATGTATTCACTAGCAAATTGGTATTAATGGATCAACACCTAAGTGGACATACAGGAAAAACATTTATCGGGTGTTGGGCGGGTGGGGGGGAGGGATGGTTATTTACAAACACAATGAGTGAGATGTGCAACATTTGGGGGATGGTCACTCTTGAAGCTCTGACTCAAGAGGGGAAGGGGGCATAGGCAATATACGTAACCTTAACATTTGTACCCCCATAATATGCTGAAAAAAAATAGTAATAATATGAATGCAAAGGATATGTTCCGTAATGTAAGGAAGAGAATGTATACTGATAGTCTTATACTGGGGGGAAAATAAAGAAGTATTATATATTATAGCTAGAGGTTTAAGGAACATCTTATCTATCTTATTTATAGATAAGATTAAATTATAGATTAGATTTAAATTCTGTGGACAGACATGAGATTTTTGGGGTGGAGGTATTCAAAGTTTAAAATGGTGAAGATAACATTTATATTGTCTAGACTAGGAGGTATAAAGTTAGTAATATTTGCAAGGTAAATCAGGAAATAACCTTATAGCTAGTGGCTATGTATTGGATCCTCTTGGGAGCATGTTTGCACTCTCTTACGATCTTAGGAGTTGGAAGAATTTTGAGGGGGAGCATTGAAAATCTATACAGGGCCGGGCGCGGTGGCTCACGCCTATAATCCTAGCACTCTGGGAGGCTGCTCGAGGTCAGGAGTTCAAAACCAGCCTGAGCAAGAGCAAGACCCCATCTCTACTATAAGTAGAAAGAAATTAATTGGCCAACTAATATATAGAGAAAAAATTAGCCGGGCATGGTGGCGCATGCCTGTAGTCCCAGCTACTCGGGAGGCTGAGGCAGTAGAATTGCTTGAGCCCAGGAGTTTGAGGTTGCTGTGAGCTGGGCTGATGCCACGGCACTCACTCTAGCCTGGGCAACAAAGCAAGAGTCTGTCTCAAAAAAAAAAAAAAATCTATACAGTGCTAAATAAGCCGATAAACTGATATTTTGAGATAAGTGTTTGGTAGTTTTGGGAATTTAACTAAACCAGCTCTTGCATTGTGAAAAATTTTGTCTCTAAGGAAACTAAGCATTATTTTAAATGTTTTTCTTGGGTTAAAAGGCCTTAATACTTAGGATATATCTCAATTTTTTCTGCTTATTCTGATAGCTATCGAGTTCTGTGCTCCACCTAAAGTTACTGCTCCTTTCTGACTTTTTACATGGAAATTAAACTTCAAAGAAACAAGATGGAAAAGTAGAACCAAAGAGCTAAGAGGGGTGTCAGGGCTTAGAACAGGGTTGAAGAAAGCAGAGAATTTGTGCAGCTTTGAAGGGCAGTAAGAGATACCCACAGTACCTACCATAGTAAAGGAATCCTAATGAAGGGAGATCCTGACTAGAAGTCAAGGTAATAAGGATAAAGCACTATGGTGTAACAGACAGGTATCAGTAGCCATTTAAAAGAATGGGCAGATTGTACCACGAGGAGGTGCAAAGGATTTCTTAGTGAGATCATTGTGAATCAATTTTTGCATCAAGTCAAAAGGCAAAGAACAAATAAAGGAACTAATAACAATGAGAACTAACAGTAAGAAAAGGGAAAATCTGGAACTCTAAAACTAAGCCATTTTTTGGCGTAGGGGATAAGCCAAACATAGAATGGCTCCAGTCCCTGTTAAACCAAAAAGGCCAGAAAACATTACCTTGTCGTTTTTCTCTGACACCATTTTATCCTAGATTGTTTACTTCTTCTATGATAGAACTGTACAAAGTTCACATATAGAGTGAAAATGCATACCCAGCGTTCTTTGTCCAAACTGTGTACCAGATCCATGTCTTGCTATTAATTGAGTTTCAACTTCTTATGCACTCTTTTCTTTCCTTCAGAAATTATCCAAAATTGCATCCACATTGTAATAATTAAACAAAAAAATATATAGCATAAAGTTTGACATTCCATTTTGAACATCACCTCTTATCCCATGCACCTTCCCCCACACACTTTTCTTCTCCTGATAGATATCCAACATTAATAAATGATTTGGTGCATAGTCTTCTAGTAATATTTTGGGGTTATCAGGTACATAAAAATGTGTACTTATATTTTATTATAATTTAGTTAAATGGAACCATACTAAGTATTTAACCAAATTTATCTTGAAGCTTTTCCATGATAATATGTGGGGTGCTTCTTTTTAATTTATTGTATGACTATCCCATCATTAATAAGCATTCTCTTGTTGATATAAATTTAGATTATTTCCAGATTTTCACTGTTAAAAACAATGATTATGTGAACATACCAGAACCTTTATTTTTGAGTGCTTAAGGAAGTATATATTTTTAGATGTTTACCTAAAAGTAGGATTTCTGAATAAAAGGGCACATATGCATATTTAAAAATAGTGAATATTGCTAAATGACCTTATAAAAAGACATACCATATTTTTATTCTCAAGTAGTGAATTAATTGCTCTTTATCCACATTCTTATCAATACTGGCTGCTGTTCATTCATCTTTTTAGTACTTGCCAAGTGGACTAAAAATCATTTTTCACTGTTTTAATTTACAGTTATTTAATTTTGGCACAATCACACCCCCTTTCTTACAATTTGTCATTTATATATCTTGTACGAATTGCCTGTCTATATTTCCTCCCCATTTTTGCATTAGGGTATCTTTTCTTGTAATTGTCTAAAGGAATCATTTATTCCTCTTCACAATTTGGCATCATGTATCCTATGTTTTTCTTTCTCATTAAAAAAACACAATGGTGAAACTCTCCATGTTTGTACTTCTTTGTCTACTCTGTCCCTTATTGGACACATAATAATAAGGATTGTTGGGAAAATAACAACATATTTCATACAGCAAGCAAATAATTCAATGCCTGGAAAGCTAAACGATGAGGAGGTACTGGGGATGCATAGTCATAGTAAGTTAACGGGAGAAATAATTTAATTTCATTGAATGTTTACAGCTAATTGGAAAACATTGTGGCCTAATGGGCCTGATTTCTTTTGTTGGAATTGTTTTGTCTATTTAAGGATACTGTGAGCTTACTGTGTGTGTAGTATAGATTAGAATATACTGCAATATCTCAAAATTGTTTAGCATATACTTTGATCAGCTGGATCAGCTCTACCCTCTTCTCCCCACCAAAAAATTACATATTTGTTAAGTGCTTATACTGCATTTACTTAACTTAGTTAAGTATACTTACTTTAGGTTTAGTATTGCACAAGCCCTATAGCCTTGCTCATTAATGCAGTTTCCGATTATCAAAATCTTATACAAATGCTTTTTGTTTTCATTTACTCAGATGTTAAGTAGCTGTTAGAGTATTGGATTGAGGTCTGATTGAGGAGGGATGCTAGGAACCTTACATTTGAGTTTGTCTGTTTTTAATTTTTTAATGTTTTTAAATTTATTTTTTCTTTTTAAGTTCCCAGATGCCATTAAGACAGTTTGGCTTGTCTTTAATGAGTCAATACAAAGAATACTTCAGGGCTGAGTGCAGCAGCTCATGCCTTTAATTCCATCCCTTTGGGAGCCCAGAGCAGAAACATTGCTTGAGGCCAGGAGTTTGAGACCAGCCTGGGCAACACAGCCTGTCTCTATAAAAAATTAGCCAGGTGTGGTGGGGCATACCTGTATTCCCAGCTACTCAGAAGGCTGAGACAGAAGGATTGCTTGAGCCCAGGAGTTCAAGGCTGTAGTGATCTGTGATCATGCCACCACACTCCAGCCTGGGTGACAGAGTGAGACCACATTTCTAAAAAAATAAAGAATAACATTTTTTTAAAAAGTACTTCAGGGTGTTCAGGGAAATAATGTGCACATTAATATGAGAATGTGGCTCTTTGTTTTTAAATGTCTCCATTCTAAAATTATGAAGATCAGTTTACATTTAAATCCTGTGAATTAAACATGTTTCTTGATAAATTTAAATCTTTATTTTAGAGCAATATACTTTGCTGCTTATTCAAACTGCAAGGAAAAGTTGAATGGTGTATTTGATCCTGATTCCACCCAGGTACACATGATTTCAGCTGCAATGGCAGGTATGAATATATAATACTAAAAAACAAAATCTTTCTGAAATGTAGAGACTTAATGTTGAACTATGATAAGTTTATATTGAAAAGTTAAGATAATTAATATGGTTTCATTGATTAACATCTACAAAGATGATTTTTACATTTATTGATATAAAACAAATTTTAGGTATATGTAAAATCTGTTGGCATTTTTGTAATTAGGAGTTTAAGTGATAGGATATAGGTAATATATTAATACTGCCTTGTGTAGTGCTTTGATTTAGTGATCACTTTTAATAGTTTTAAAAATCCAACCATAATTACACTACAAATAAGTTATGGAGCTATAATTTATTCTTCTCTCCTCAATTTCTGTTAGTGCCTTTTCCCTTTTTGCTGCATGTTTTGGCTTCTATCTGAAATGTGTCGGCAGTTCTTGGTAAAGTATTCATTTTGTACTGTGCTCAAATGCTGAAATTTTTGTGAGTGTTGTATTATTAATAACTCAGACAGTTACTATAATGTGTATCTTTTAAAAAATGTCTATCATTCCATTTAAATCACACTAGAGATAGCACCTGAAATTTAGACACTGGCTATGTGTACATGTTTGCTATAGAAATGTTTCCAGGAACTCTTCTGTCAATATTGATGAGTATATATGATTCTGAATTAAAACCACTTGGCTCAAATCTCTGCACTGCCTTAAAGATAAACTATGGGAGGTTGGTTTGACCAATCTGGTTCTGGAATCATTTGTTACCATGCATGTTAGACAAAGCCATGAACTTTGGTTCTCAATAAAAAATTCTCTCCAATTTTCCGAGATTTGTAGCTTATTTATCCATGTCTTACGTTTTCAAATTATGCTACGACTTTATAAAGCAAACTTTATAGCTGCTTTCATCAGCTATTGATCAATGAAATGAGTGTCGATTATGTGCTTAATAATGAGTGCCTTAAACTGTTAACCACTTTCTGTTTAGAAAAAAGTTGTATCAGTTTGAACCATATACTTAACTAAGTTTGAAATATTGATTTCTGAAAGATTGATAGCCATTGCTGTATAATAAATCTAGCATATACAAGTTGCTTTCAAGGTTTTTATATTTAATAATTGTTGACTGACTCATTGAACTTTTAAAATCAGAAGGAACAACCTTAAAGATCAAGATAGTGAAATACTCTGATTTACCAATAAGGAGATCTTGGGCAAGTAATATAATTTATGAACCTCTGTTACCTTATCTATGGAATGAGTAGACTGGCCTACATAGATTTGGATTTTTAAAATTAGTTCTTTCATTTAATATCATAGAGATTATCTGGCTACAACTAGAATTCTTTTTTAATATATTTTTTATGGATGTTGAATATGAATATATATGATTTCCCCCTTACAAATTTGAGTGATTATAAGGTAAAAATTGGTGGCCAATGACAAACCTAATAACCACACTATTAGCTACTTTAAGAATATATTTCTGGATCATCGGTATTTATGTTTTTGGCTTTTATGGGAAATTATAAAGAAATGCTCATCTTTTTTGAAAAAATTGAAATCGAGAAAGTAGATGAGCAGTCATTTTAAGTTGAGGATACTGGTTTTATATTCAGTATCACAAATTTAGGGGTTCAGAATATCTTAATTTCCACTGGAACATCTTATTTCATTAGAATATTTCATCATTATTATTATATTTATATCATATAGCAAAGAATTTCAGTAGAATTGTCAGTGTGTACAAATGTTAACGTAGTTTGTTTTCATCTATATATTGATACTATTTCCCAACTTGAATTCCTTGCATTTTGGTAAATTGATAGTCTTATACTTGTTCATAAATTATTGTACTTATTGTATAGTTTAAAAATAGTTCTTCCATATTGTTCTGAGCATTCTGCTTTCAGAGCTTCCTTGTACTATTCATGAGCATTAACATTTAGCTTCGCAGTTTTTATACATAACTATACATGATTGGTGAAACTGAATGGTCTAATGCAGACTTTATTAAGATAGTCTTTTGCCCCCTTCATTCTTGAAGTAATCTAGACCAGATTGTTCTGGTTTTTCTTCAGGATCATTTTTATAGGTTTGAATATGAATGATTTGGGGGTGCAAAGTACTTAAGAGATCATCATGTGAAAAATCGTTTTTAAGTGGCTATTCAAGGAAAAAAATGCTAACCTTGTCACTTTAGTATCAAAAAATGCACAAAATACACCATTAACAATAATGCTTGCGAGATTTTCCACACCAAGTAGTACACACATTAAGGATTTGGTAAATTATTCCAAGTAACCTCTCGATTCAGTTTCATTTTGCATTTCATCCATATGAATTCAAGTGTTTAATTTACATAACTAAAACTTTATTAACAGGACAGTTAAATAAACTGGGTCTTTTTATTTGTTGTAGTGTTACCAGTGAATACTAAAAGTATTTGTATACCTCTAAAACTGAGCTATAAATTTTCATGCATTAAAACATTTTTTCAAGTTGTGAGGATATTTAATCAAATTAAGTAATGTTGACTCTATTTATGTTTTTCCTGTCTCTTTTCCCCTACATGACCTTTGTTAGACTGAGTATATCTTAGCTATTGAGGATATCTGGGCCTGTGTGTTTTGTTTAAATGAACTTCAATATCCCTGTGTATATACCTGGGCACGGATACATACAGAAAAAAAATGTATTAAGTTACTTTATAGTAATTCTCAATTTTTAAAAGTTTTTATCTAGTATGTATATACTTTTATATACAACATTATGAATGTAAAAGAAATGAATTCTAATTTTTATTGGATTATATATTCATACAGTTCTTGTTCAATTTTTAAAATACCAATAATGTAATTGTTGAATGTTTTCTATATTCATAATGGGTTTTAGTGGATACACTGTTTTTCAAGATACATTTTTCTGTTTGACTTAAAGTTCATTATTAAAGGTTAAGTTTTTACTCATTAAGTAACATTTCATCTTGCATTTATAAAATATTTTTAAACAATATTTGTCCATGGCAGTTCATTCAGCCAGATTGATGGTTGGACAGATGTTTTGTGTTTGTGTATAAACATTGTTCCTGTTTTTTGTTTTATAGAAGACAAGAAATTAAATAGAAAATAATCCAAAATATTTCATAAATATGGATGTGCAATATTACTGGCCATAGTGCAAAAGGTGAAAGGTACTATTGTAGCAACATATACTGTATTTTATAAAAAATTATAATAGCTCCAAAATGAAGTTACTTGAATATTCTGTTGGGGTTTTTATTTTTTTTTAAAAGGCTTATTACTAAGTAGGCTTATTTTTAAAGAATAGAAAATTGTGTTTTCAACTCTTTGATCACAGTAGATAATAATGGTAGGAAAATATGATAAGCCCCTCCAAATATTGCCCCTTTGACAAGGTTAGCATTTTTTCTTTAAGGCAAATTGGTCTTCTTTTAGGTAAGTATATGGACTTTGAAACTGCTGCAATGGCAGAATTTTCAGTACTCAGTGCATTTTAAAAATTATGGCCCATTTTAATATTCCTTTCTTTTCTTTTTTTAACTTAAAATTTTCCAAAAGGTTAGATCTCACAGTAAATATTTCTCAAATCCTTCCAATGGGATTCAATTTGTACACGTGTTTCTGATGAGGTCACTGCTTGTTGTTATGATACAGAAAAGCCTGTGTCTATTTTAGGCATTTACTGTACATTTCTCCCGAGAAAAGAGTGAGATCGTGTCATCTCATGCTCCCCATCCGCAGGTCACTTCCTGTAGAAATATGGACTAACTTAAACCTCGTGAGTACTGATCTGAGCATCTCTTGCAGCCTCTAGTATAAGAAACACACCCTGGGATTTTATAATAGCTGTGGAATTAATAGAAGGCGGGAAATGAATTTTTATTTCCTGAATATGTGTGTGCATTATTTTACAAAAATTTAATTCTGATCCTTTTATAATATTCCTTCTAGAAGGAAGAATGGGGTACTTTTCAGTCATCACATAATAAAAGCCTGGGGTCTTCAGCTTGGGCATAACAGCCTTGACCTCCTAAGAATTTGATAACAATATATATACATAGTTATAAATGGTATCAGACCATCCTACAAGTTTTAGATAAAGTAGTACTCTTTGCTTAGCATAACACATTTAAAAGTCTAATACAATGCTTTCTACTCTCTTGTGTGTTGATACATGGCTTTCCAGTCTTTGCAAAAATATTGATCTTAATGCCATTATTTTCCAAATAAATGCAGGATAAGAATACAGGGGATCTTAGCTGTTTTAGTTTTAATTACTTTAAAAAATTGTTTTAATACATTTTTCTTAGGAGTTTAGTGGGATTTTAGTCTTACAGAAGTTAATTGGAATGAAAAGTACTGAAAATGCAATACTACAGGTATAACTCACTTAATGAAATAAACATTTTCAGCAGGTTATTATAAGCAGAATTTTTCTGTTAATCTGGTTTTTAATTGGTTTACATTATCAAATGGAATCTTAGATGAAACAAAACTTCTAAAATCGCATTTGAATTTTTTTTTAACTCTCAAATAAAATGCCACATTACTAACAGTATGGCCAATATATTAGCATTTTGCTTTAACTGACTATGGAACTATATTAAATCTTATTAACCTAGAAATGGATCTTAGAGAACATGTACTCTAAGATTGTTTTAATGTTTCACTGGGTGTTCAGAATTTTAATATAAATTAACATATTATCAAAATGTCACAAAATTCAAATTAAAATAAAAAGGCCATTTCTAAATTTCAGGAGCCCCATTTCCAAAATCTTTTGTGTCTGTCTGTTTTAGAAGTCATAGGAAGATATATTTAGCTTTGGCTAACCTCAAATTGCCATATGATATATAATTCTAAGTTAATGATAAGATTTTTGTTTCCATTTGTTTCATTTCTTGGATTAATCAATTATATATATTTATATTTAATTAGCTTAATGAATGTTTGCTTAGTTTATTAAAATGCCTTTTGTTAAGAGAAAGTGATAGCATAAAACTCAAGGACCTGAGTTTGAAGTGGTAAAAGGCCAACAGCTAAACACCTGTGGATTATGCCTAGATTAATTAGGCTAGTGTCTTTATTAACAGCTTGCTCTCATTATTGAAAGAGTTGAACCAGAACAACTATCATAAACATAACTTACTGTTAATAGCAATTATATAGGGAAAAGATAACATTCTCTCACTTACCTAAATTTTAATGCATCCTGTTACATAGGTTAATTTAGCTTGGAAATGAATTTTAGTTAAGTGAGAAATACCTGTTGTTTGCTTTCTGACATTGTTTATTAATAAGTACAGATAATAGTTTAAAATTAGAATTTATGGGTTTTTAAAAAATTCTTAGCAACATTTATAAATATTTGTTATAATATTTTAAAGTTGTATATATTTATGGGTTTTTTTCCCAGCCTCAAATTGGAGAATTTTGTGACTTGGAAGAATATTATGGGCAAAAACTTGAGTACTAAGTTTATATTTTTAGAAATATAACTTTCGTTAAAGAAAAACTTTAGTGTTCATTTTCTTTTCAAATAAAGTATAATAGTGCTCACTTCGGCAGCACATATACTAAAATCAAATAAAGTATAATAAATTGAGAATTTTTACCTAAGATAAACTGTTATTTTAAAAAGTTGAATATATAAGGGGCTGGGGTGTGATCACTCACACCTGTAATCCCAGCACTTTGGGAGGCCAAGGTGGGAGGATCGCTTGAGGCAAGGACTTTGAGACCAGCCTAGGCAACATAGTGAGACCCTGTCTCTATAAAAAAAAAAAATTAAAAGTTAGCCAGGTGTGGTGGTGCACAGTAGTCCTAGTTGTTCAGGAGGCTGAGGTAGGCTAGATGATCCCTTGAGCCCAGGAGTTGGAGGTTACAGTGATCTGTGATAATGCCACTGCACTCTAGCCTGGGCAACAGAGCAAGACCCTGTCTCTAAAAAAAAAAAAAGTTTGATATAAGGATTCCAAGGGTTTTTTAAGTTTTCAAAATTAAGTAAAAAGTAAAGAGGTTTTCTTAATTTATGATTTCTACAGAATGATTAATAAAAACTATTGCAGGTAATGCAAGATATATCGTTGGTTTATGCTGTTAGCAGCTTTTCAGTAATAAACCCGTAATCTTGCTGCACAGACATTTAGCAAATACAAATATTTAAATTTGAAAAAATAAGAATCATTAAATTGGGGTTTGACCAGAATATTAATGTCTGGTTGCTTTATAATTTGGATATCTGTAGTTTCACTTTTTCACTTAGAAAAATTAGGTTCAAAAGAAGAAAAAAATATTTTGTATCTTTGTTCTCAATTAAGCCAGGCCATACAAGAAAACTGGTCCAACAGTTTTCATGTTTTTCTTTTCTTTCCTTTTACCAAGAATATATGCATGGAAAGAACCTCTTATTTAAAAAGATGTTCCTGGCAACCTGTTCAACATTTTAAATATTTATTATTTTAAGTACCTGCTGATGATTCCAAAATTATTGGCCCCATTCTAGTTTTATACTTATATATGTAGCACTAAAATTACTAAAGGATGCCATTTATCTTGCAAAGTAGATTTAATTAGAGCATCCATTTATGTAACATTTGGCTATTTCTACAGCATTAAAACAGGTGGGGTAAAGGGAGTAAAATTTGAGATAGCTAATTGTCCAACATCATAGAAGGGAAAAGAACCTTGTATGACCAAATTCAGCTTTGTGAATAATTCAGTAAAATTATTTTGCATATGTAGAAATACCCATACTTTTTTTGAAAGCCAGGAAAGTTTTATGATTGGTTCTGTACTGCATATTAATTTAAAAAGCAAATTATTCTTAAGTACATTATAGCCTTTCTGTTGTATTTTACTTGTATCAAGTGTGCTGATTATAATTCACCTTGTTAAAAATAATGTGCTTGACCTGCTAGTGTGTGATAGGAAATATTAAAACAGTTAAGATCCTTAGACATTTCTGCATGTAAGTTTTCATTGGATTTAAAGACCAATTGAATCAATGTAGCTCGATGTAAGTAGTTCTATGAATTTTGTGTAACTGATTTTAAATGTAAAAGCAATATATTAAAACCCTGTTTTGTGTAGATGAAGCAATCTTTTTAAGTGCCCATCATCAAGATTGCATTTTGTGTGCTCTTTTTCCATACCTAGGAAGATGGCAAGCGAGAGATATGTACTAGCCTGTTTCTTAATTTACTACCTGGAATAGATAATAATTTACTACCTGGAATTTAGCCATCTTAGGTGACCACCCTTCCGCACCAATAGTTAGTACATAGTACTTTAGTTTTAAAGTAAACTAGAGCTACTTTCTATCCCTAGTTTCTTTCTTTCATGTCTATAAAAGTGAGAGGGAAGTTCTAATTTGTAACTTGTTGAACCTTTGAGTTTTTGTCTGTGTTTAAATAGATGAAAATTAAATCTGCCCTATTAACCCTAACAGACCTTACCTTTGTGATACCATTATTTTAACAGTATTATTAAGTATATTTATAGAAAGTATTTATGGGGTGAAACAACAGTCTTTTCTGTTATACAGTCAACTAAAGATCACAATATTAGTAATTGCTGACATTTATGTAGAGTCAATTCTGAATATAGTGATTTGCGATGCTAATCAGACTCCCAATAGCTGTTGTAGAGTTCATGCTTTTTTAGCTCTAGAATACACAAAATTTCTGTTTGTCTGTAGAAATGGGTTTCTATATTCAACTTAGGGAGCACCCTAGAGGATATTGTGAATAGGTTGGGAAAGTAATTTATATACAATTGGATTTTGCTCTTAAAAATAATCTTTTAGTTAAGGTCAGAATTTGAGAATTGATGTAGATTGCAAGTGAAGACAAATGTTCATGGTTGTATGGATTTGTAAAATGAAAGAGTAAAGCATACATTAATAGTTTAAATATTTATATATTTTCTTTAATGTAGATTCATATAATTGTAAAAACATTAAAGTTAATAATATGTTCTTCATTTTTACCAGAGTTCATTTTAAAAATGTTTGTTTAGGTTTTACCGCAATCACGGCAACCAACCCCATTTGGCTTATAAAGACTCGGTTACAGCTTGATGCAAGGTATGTGAATTCCTTAAAATAAAATTAGTTAAAGTGGGTTTAACAGATTTATTTTTATAAATTTATATTAGTAAGATTTTAATGTCAGCTATAATGCTGTTTTTTTGCTGGATTTGTTTTTTTTTACTGTTTTGTTTTGAAACTTGGGTCTGCCATGAGAAGCAAAAGTGATAGGTGAAAACAGTGTATTGTGTGTTGTGTTTTTTAAAAAAATAAAAAGGGTGTTTTGACCCTGCCCAAAAAGTAATACTTCCCTACGTAAGTGCTTACAATTAATTGGCCTTCCAGCAGCTAACTAAGCCACATGGTAACTAGTCTAGACTAAATCGGTTGTTGCTCAAAGCTAGTGACCTTATGTACACAGAACCCTGCCCTGGGAAATAACTTTTAAATATGCATAAACTTTATCTGTTACCATTGACCACTTTGCAATAGCAAGATTCATTCATTCAGCACATCTATATTGAGCCGATACTGCTATGTTCTAGACTCAGAGATATACCAGGAAACAGTGGAGACCAATTTTCAATGGAATAATCAAGTAATAGCGCTTTTTTGAGCTCATTATAAGCAGAGGAAACAGTGCAGACCCCAGAAGTCCTAAATGTATGTATGGCTTTTGGTGTCCTAGGAACTGAGATGCTGGAAGCAGTGCAGCTATTTCATTTCCTGTTGGCGTTAGAATGGAGAATGGGGAAAAGTAATATTTTTATTGAGATGATCCTATCTGGTGTGTTATAGAAACGTTAATACTTTTGAACTATTTTAGACTTGCAGTCTGGAGTAGGTTCTGTGTATAACATACTTCCACTGTTTTTACTTTGAGGGGTTTTGAAAGTAGTGTTGTATCCTATAGAACATAAGTAAAACTGATCTAACAAATCATTAATAGTTAATTTTCCCTGCCTAAATATTTGTTTTCCACATCTGTCATGTTGAACTAGATGCTATTTGGGAACTTGAAAAGAAATGTCTGTTTCATCTGGATTAGCCCTTTTAGATGAAATCTAAAAGTGTTATAGGAGCTCAGAGTTTATTTTTTAAAGCCAAATATATGAAAAGTAATCATAGCTAAGACTTAACCCCTAGGGTTAAAAAGTGTGAGATGCAGGCCGGGCGCGGTGGCTCACGCCTGTAATCCTAGCACTCTGGGAGGCTGAGGCGGGCGGATTGCTCGAGGTCAGGAGTTCAAAACCAGCCTGAGCGAGACCCCGTCTCTACCATAAAAATAGAAAGAAATTAATTGGCCAACTAATATATATAATATAAAAATCAGCCGGGCATGGTGGCTCGTGCCTGTAGTCCCAGCTACTCGGGAGGCTGAGGCAGGAGGATCACTTGAGCCCAGGAGTTTGAGGTTGCTGTGAGCTAGGCTGACGCCATGGCACTCACTCTAGCCTAGGCAAGAAAGCGAGACTCTGTCTCAAAAAAAAAAAAAAAAAAAAAAGTGTGAGATGCCAGTCCACATTATACTATTATTGTAAACTACTAGAGTTACGTTTCACTGTGTTACAGGGCTCCTTTGTAGGGAATCTAAGAAAAGCATGGCTTAGAACTCTTCAATATTCTTTCCTTCCATTTACAATTGTAGCACAATTTTAGGCTTACAGGGGTGGGGAATGGGGATAGGGATAGAGTAATAGTGAAAAGTTGACTTGAGGATTCTAAAACACAGCATGAGATCAAGAATAGGGCTAATATATCTGCATGTTACCCTTCCAACCTTATATCTCTTTTAACTTTGTGTGAAGAATAATCTCTGGTGGTAGAAACTAGTTACAGTAGGTTACGTGGATCATTCATCTAAATAGGTATTCAGTAGCTAAAGACAATCATTATTTCATAAAACTGGCAGAATTTATAGGTTATTAGGTGGATGTTTTAGTTTTGGTTTTATTTTCTGTCAGAAATAGGTTAATATAATTTATAAATAGGTGCATTTTCTATTTATAGGTAGCATTTAAACCCATTTTTTACAAATAATGTTCTATTGGAGAAATAAATCATACTGTGAGGTAATAAATACTGTTACAAACTCAGAATTATATACATGTGTAACAAATCTTCTACTACATAAGAGTAGGCGCTGCACCCTTGAGTAGCACTAAGGAAATTATCTTGGGTACAATACTGAATAAATTCTTGCTAACTGCACGCACAGGTTTGCATTCACTATTCACTGGGGTTACTAAATAGGCCGTTGCCTTTAAATAAGCAAAGGGAATTTGAGTTATGTTCACCCGTCATTTCTTGGAGAAAATCTGAGTGGGGTTGAAAAAGAAACTCCTCGGGTGCACAGAAATTTAATCTGTCGTACATATTCCTTGCTTTATGATATACTATCATCATTAGCACCCCAGTCATTGTTTTTGTGTTGTTAAATGCAGAGGAAATTCAACTTACTAAAATTAATAAGATGTGAGGGTTTTTGTTTACTTTGTTTTATTTTTATCTTGAGCTGCAGAGTGTGTAATTCCTAAAGGTTTTTTTTGCTTATCCCTACTATATGAACCCCAGTGAGAATGCAAAAGTGAAGATTGAATGTAGCGCATTTTGCATTCAGTAAAATAATGTTACCCATTCGGTGTGACAAATTAGGGACAAAAGAATAGGAAATCTAAAATATCAATAGTTTTTTAAATTCCAGTTTTACTTCATGAGTTAAAGAAGGCCATTCCTTAGCAGAGTGACATATTTTTACTGTATTTGATTTACTTTAATTAAAAACTTTAATTATATACTCCTTTATTTATGTCAGTAAGATCTTTCTTTGTGCTTTTCAGGAACCGTGGGGAAAAGCGAATGGGTGCTTTTGAATGTGTTCGTAAAGTGTATCAGACAGATGGACTTAGAGGATTTTATAGGGGCATGTCTGCTTCATATGCTGGCATATCAGAGACTGTAATCCATTTTGTTATATATGAAAGTATAAAGCAAAAACTACTGGAATATAAAATTGCTTCTACAATGGAAAATGAAGAAGAGTCTGTGAAAGAAGCATCAGATTTTGTGGGAATGATGCTAGCAGCTGCCACGTCAAAAACTTGTGCCACAACTATAGCATATCCACATGGTAAGAAGAGTTGAGTTTATTTGAGTAATAATCTGTTAAATCAGAAATGTTTCCCACCCAGGCAACAGCAAACTTATTAGAACATTTATAATTTTATTGCATCCTGGTATAACAAAATGCATTTTTTAGGAGCTCATAATGGGATTAAATCTGGTTACGTAACATAAGGCTGTAGTAATAGGTCAGTATAGGCTATCAAGTTGCATGGTGGTGATGGAACATGAGCTCTGAAGTCAGGTGGTCAAATTCTAGCCACACTTTCCCCAGCTAGCTGACCTTTGGGCAAGTTTCTAATTTTTTAAAACAGTAGGTACATAGGTGCTATGGTTGATATTTTACATACATTATTGCTAACTACATAAAAATCCTCTAAAGTACTTATCTTCCCTGTTACGCTAGAACATAACCAGAATTGTGCTCATCTTCAAATGGGACACAAGTAACTTGCCCAAGGTCACATAGCTACTTGGTGATGAAGCCCAGATTTGAATTGAAGTCAGTAATCCCAAAGGCCAAGCTATTTTATATTACTTCATGTTGGCAAATAAGAGTATGTTCATGTTTTGTTTTGTCTTTAAATTTTACAGTATTATTAGTCTATTTTATTAATAGCTAAATAAATCATTTAATAATTTGTCTACTATGTGCTGAGGTTTTTATTTTCTTTTTTAAAGACAGGATCTTGCTCTGTTGCCTGGGGTAGAGTGCAGTGTTGTAATCTTAGCTCACTGCAATTTCAAATTCCTGGGCTCCAGAGACCCTCCTACCTAAGCCTCCTGCATAGCTGGGACTACAAATGCATGCCACCAGGCCCAGCTTATTTTTTAAAATTTTTTTGTAGAGCCAAGGTGTCAGTAGGCTGGTCCTTGAACTCTTAGCCTCTAGTGATCCTTCCATCTCAGCCTCCCAAAGATCTAGGATTACAGGTCGCACACTGAGGTGTTTGATAGCTTTTTTTGTTGTTTAGTTATTTAAATGCAGCCTTTGATTTTGGGTGTGTTTAATATTTTTGATGTTTTGGGGAGGTTTTTTTTGTTTTTATAAATCTAAGTGCTTCACTTTGGTTCACTGATTAAACATTTACATTCTCCCTTGTATATCATATCTGGAAAAATGAAACTGGGCTAGGAAATGTGTATCTGCTCCAGTATGTTATTTATGAAACTCTTTAACCAAGTTGGATTGTGAACTTAATGGGTTTCCTGAGGGAAGTTCCTGACTTCTCTGAAAGAAAACAAAATAGGACAGTATTAGCAACATTGTTGAGGTTCTGACTTCCTATGGGTAGATAAGAATTGTAGCTTGCTAAAGTGTAAGGGGTAGAGTTTTGGGACTGAATCAGTGTGTCCCTTTAGATGAAATGAAGTTATTACAAGAAGAGGTACAGTTGTAAACAGGATATTTTGGAGTTAAATGTATAAATGGCATGAATCTTTATGACAGGACAAGAGATTTCCAATAAATATTTACAATTTCTATGGGCTGCTTTAGACTGTTTCCCCCAGGCCCATCAAGAGTAATTTGTTGACAAAATTTGAGAACTAATAGATGTAGAAAGGGCAGATACACTTAAAATGGGAAGCTCTGAATTCTTGTCCCAGCCTTCTCCCAACTAGTTAGAACCTCTCAGTTGCCCCAATTTCTCATCTTTTAACATTAAGAAGAATTGGACTAATTTCTAAAGTCCATTAAGTTCTTAAAAACTTGTTCTTAAGCTTTCTTCTTTGTCTACACGATGTTTCACATTGGTATATGTGGGTCATTGTGAGTAAATTAATCATTCTATTTTTTATTTTTATTGTACATGTTTTTAAATAAAGTTTTCTGCTGTTTCTCACTATAATCTTTTTATGTTATGCATCTGTGATAATCATCTATACTCCCTTACCTGCTTCTTTACCTTTTTCTCCTTATATCTATTCTCCCTTCTGTTTATCTAGTGTACAGCTGATACTTACTTTTGTTTTTTATCTTTTCTCATTCAAGACCTACGAAATCTTATAATTAGTGTATGTGAATTTAGCTATAGTAGTTTGGTGTTACTATAATGTGACTCATTTCAATGAGCTACACATTAAAAGTCACTCCTTATTAAACATGAGCTTACACTTAGAGACTAGTAGGATGTGCTCTGTGTAAGAGGTTGTAAAGACATCAGTAACGTTTAAATAAATGATTTTCTTTCTTTCCTAAACAGAAGTTATAAGAACAAGACTACGTGAAGAGGGAACAAAATATAGATCTTTCTTTCAGACACTGTCTTTGGTTGTTCAAGAAGAAGGTTATGGATCTCTTTACCGTGGTCTAACAACTCATCTGGTGAGACAGATTCCAAACACAGCCATCATGATGGCCACCTATGAATTGGTGGTCTACCTACTCAATGGATAGTATCGCATAGGGCTGCTGTACTACAAAGAGGGAAGACCAAAAGATTACAGTGGACCATGGAATATTGAAGCCAGCCTGATGGACAGAAGAAAAGTAGTTTGGGAACACATAGCTGTGCTTAAGTGGAAGTTTGGTTGTAGGAATTAAAGTAATCATACCACATTACTTGGTCTTTCAGTAATGTGAATCAAACCTCGGAGCCTCCAAGGAAATGCCTTTAGAAGCACTCCTTTCTCAAAATTGCCATTTTCTCTACCATGTCTGCTAGACACAGTCGCGTTTAGTTGATTTATATCAGTGAGATTATAGTGTTGTTTATTCCATGAGCACTTTTCCAGTCTTCTAAACAAAACCATCCCTAATTATATACTGTACTGTAACTATCCAAAGATAGTATTGGCAGTCATAAATTTATAACTTCTGGCTTTTAATTCCTGTGAAATTGTAAAATAACAATAACAGTGAGAACCTCAGTATTATTTTCACATTTTCCTGAGAGGACCTGGAACAATATTTTAAATTATATACTATTAATAGTCATTGTTTTTGACAGCCAATGAAATAGTACCTAAGTATCTTGTGTATTTTTAGCATTAAAATGTTTTGGTTTCCCCTGCTAAAAGGTGCTTGATGTTTAGCCTAATATGGACATTTAAGTTGTTTGTTAACATATCAAACTCACATAATAGTAGTTTGAGACAAAATAAACTAGTAAAATGTTGATCCTTGGCCATCTCACTGACTTGAGCATGTCCTCATACCTTCTCTAATTTGATGGCACATGAATGAATGTAATTATCTCTTCAGTGACTTACTAGTGATAAACTTGAATTATTACCTGTTCATCATACCTAGGTATCATTTACTTAAAGTGGAAAAAGTTTACCACTTTTGAATCTTTTTCTGCTTACTTTCACATTAAGAATTTGAACTTTTATTTCCAGGTCTTTATAGGTTACATTTATTTTGTAGAGAAAATGGTAATTTCAGTTTTGCCCTTACAAGTTTTTTTAAGGTAACATTAATATTAATATTTGGAATAGTAGAATTACTACAGAAGAGAAGCCTCTGCTATCTGATCCAGCAGGTAGTGATCTTAATTAACTTACAGTTTTATAAATGAGCAAACTGTTTGACAAGAAATTTATTGTGTTCTAGTTTCCTGAATGGTAAATCATAGATAAAAGCTAATTTGGGTTAAATGTGCTAATAAGATATAGCTTTTAAATTTTGCAATTAAGTTAACTGTAACTTTTAATACTTTAAATGTATTATATGTATGGTCCTTATAGAAATGTTTGCTATAATTCTGTTTAGAGACTTTGCCTATGGATGTTGCTATACTGGTGTATAAAATTTCCACAGTTACACTCCAGTGTGGTACTCATTTCAATATACCTGAACTGTACATTTTGTGCAATGGCTTTATCTTAAAGAATGACTCTTTGTGAATGCACTTTGTGGCCTTTTTGGGGGTGAAAGAGTAGGAGAGAATTCTGTTAAGATTTTCTTTTTTAAACTCTGGTCATATATTAGGCAGAAACAGTGTTCATAACGTTTTTCTGGGTTTTAGGTATGTTGTTTTGGAGATAGTCAATTTGAATGTTTTAAGTATTCCATGTACCCTGTGGTGTCCCCAACATTATAGAAAATTGCAGCATGTCATTGCAAGCTTTCTCTGCTGTCAGCAATGAAACATAGTTCCCTCTTAAATTCCCTTACCTTAACTTCCTTGTAGTCAACAATAACTGGATGTTTTTGAGGTGCTCAATTGGGATTTAAAATATTCCAATCTATTTGGAGACCAAAGGCAAAACTCAGTTTTCTTACCTTTGGAATTATTAATGCCTTTTCTGGTGAATTTCAGCTTTGACATTTATTGTGAGGAACATAACCAACACCCTGACCCCCCCACCCCCCCCATGGGGTTTCTAACTTAAAATCTGTAGAGAAAATCTCAATCTATAGTGTTTGCCTTTTCAGGTGCCATTTATACTGCCTAGTATAGTGCCATTTGCCTTGTGAAGATCCATAAACATTTGTTGTGTTGAATGTAAGGCAAAGACTCTCCCTAGTCTTACTGATCTCAGTACCCCACAAATGATTAAGAATGATATGAAAACCAGCAGCTAAGAAACATCTTATTATTTAGTTGTAGCAAATTCATAATAAGTGTCCTTCAAGGATGAAAATGTATTCTTTCTATTTGTATTTAGCAAGTAAAGTTTATGTTGACCTTTAGTGCATTATAATTAAGCTTTTAAAAGTGAGTATTACATATGTACTGGAAGGAAAAGAGATCTTAGTTAGACTTTATTTGTGCAACAACTGGAAAAAAAGCAATGAGGTTTTTTTTTTCCCCCTAACACAATATGCCATAGTTTATGTACAACAGAGATAATTCAGAAAAAGAAAACTGTAAAAGTTGTATGTAAAGTTTAACTCTGAAATATTTCTTTCAGGATTTTTTTAATTGATTGAAATATTTTAAAAGAAATGCACATTTAAAGCATTAGGCTTTTTTTTTTTTTTTAACTGTTTTCATATGTTGTCTATCAGATAACTTTTATTTCTGGTATAGAGGTAAACATTCTTCAGATTTGATATGTACCATTATTATAGAATCTTCACAGAAAGTTGAATTGAATTTACCTGTAACTTATGGAAATGGTTTTCTAAATTTCAGAGTACAAATCTGAGAATTGCCAACCCTGTGATTGTAGGATACCATACAGTGCTTTTAATGCCAGGGAAAAAGCTGTATCACCAAAGCTTTGTCTTAATTCTCATTATGTTACTTTGTAGAATCAACCTTACTAAATGGGCCCCCTACAATGGGTTTTGTCTTTTTTTTTTTTTTTTAATAGAGATGGGGCTATGCTGTGTTGACCAGGCTGGTCTGGGACCCCCTGACCTCAAGCAGTCCTCCCACTTCAGCCTCCCAAAGTACGAGGATTACAGGCATGAGTTACCACACCTGGTCCCACAATGGGTTTATAACTTTGAAACCATGACAAGAGTATTAGATTATTTAATCCAGCCTTTTGTCTCTAAAATTTAATGCCCAGTGGGGAGCCAGCAACATTATATTAGGACCAGCAGTTTGGGTTGTTAAAAGCAAACGTTTATTCTTTTACTGGAATATAAACATTTCAGCATTTTTTGATATGTTTTAAATCACTAAAACTGATTTGAATTTGAAGGATTTAAGTGCTAGAAATAATCTATTCCTTACTATTCCAGAATTATTCATGCCTGTCTTTTGTTGTTTATGTGCTCTTCTGCCCAGGCTGTTAGTACTTTAGGGACCACTTTTGGTCTAAGTACAGTTCAGCCCTTTTCTCTAATATTTGATCATGACTTCAACATTCCTTAAGAATATAGATATTTCTGAATGATTTAAATTGAACGGAAACGTTGAGCGGCCTGGCTAGCTGTCGGAGCATGTGTCTCTTAAATTGAAAGGAATTTTAATATATAAAATACAGTGTACAAACTCTGCCCATTCAAATCTCTTTTCCATCATGCCCTTATATTTCCCATTAGTCTATATACTGATTTATATGCTACGCCTTTTAGAAACTAAATATTGTAGTTTTCCTTAGTTTTTGTGTTAATAGACTTTGAATGTGTACCCTTGTGTATATGTGAACAATTAAATTATGACTTATCAGTCATAGCTAAATAGTCAACTTCAAAAGAGTTAGTAACTCTTGACGATTCATGTGAGGTCTGCTATTTTTGCATTTATGTATATGGCTGTAAATTATGTGCATTTACTCTATTTATGTTAACTAGCTGACTTTTACTTGAATTGTCAAAATTCAAAAAATTAAAATATGCTTATGAAAATGTGGCTTTGTCTATATCTTAATATTTTGGCATGGTGATCTTATGTGTAGAACAAAAGTGCATGGCCATTTTCAAGTTGAGCATTAGGCTCATTTATTGATTCATTTTCAGGTTTTCCCAATCAGGTTTGATTGTAGCTAATATCAAACATTGCCCAAACTTGTAGGTGAGGAAACCAGGACAAATTTGTCATGTCTATGTTCTATATCTCAAGGTTAACATAAAGCCGCAGTTGTTCGCTCTAATAATAATATTTGTTGCACCGAAGACACTGGCAAAACAATGGTTGAGGTTGATGTAATTAAGCTAAAGTGTACCAAGTTTACATTTGTGTGTATGTTGCATGCATGCATTGCTGAACATCAGGAGCTGCGATGAGGGAATTTGTGAGTTCATGATTTCTAAAAGTTCAAATTGAGATTTATGCAACTGATAAAGCTCAGGCAGATGTACAAAGTGTAGTTAAATGTTTCACTTTTTGTTTCCTTTTTGTACTGCACAGACAGGTTGGCTGCCTTGATATATTGGATCAATTCAAAATTTTTATACAATGGTTTCATGTGATTTAATAGCTTGTAGTTACACTCAGAATGTAATAGGGAGGGATGAGAAATAGATCTGAAGGTGTAAATTGGGAGAGTCTGAACTATCTTAGAAGGTAACCTACCTAGACCTTAGGCTATCTCCTGAGACCACTGGAGAGCCTCTAGGTTTTTTCTTTTTCCCCCAAAGGATGATTAGTGATATTGCAGAGTTAACAAATATTCAGTTTGTCTTAAGTGAGCTGCTCTTAATTTATAATCTTTGAGCCACAGGAATATCTTGAAGATGATCTATATTCTCTGAAAGTGTTAAGTTGGTTAATTCTTTTACAAAGATCTAGAAAGTTTGCTTGGAGAAAATAGCATTTTTTTTTATTATTATTTTGGCATATTATGGGGGTACAGAATTTAAGGTTTCAATAAATGCCCATTTCCCCCCTCCCCCCAAAAGTCTGAGTCTCCATCATGACCATCCCCCAGATGGTGCACATCTCGTTATGTTTGTATATACCCGCCCCCCTCTCCCCTCCCACCTCCCCAATACCCTATTACTGTAGCACCTATGTGTCCACTTAGGTGCTACTCAGTTAATACCAGTTTGCTGGAGAATATATCTGGTGCTTGTTTTTCCATTCTTGGGATACTTCACTTAGTAGTATGGGTTCCAGCTCTAACCAGGAAAATATAAGATGTGCTATATCACCATTGTTTCTTAGAGCTGAATAGTACTCCATGGTATACATATACCACATTTTATTAATCCATTCTTGGATTGATGGGCACTTGGGCTGTT